TATATCTCATTAGCATGATTGTTTAATTTAAAATTCACTTCTTGCATTTCACTAGTTAATATTTTTGTATTTTTTTCTATGGACTCTATTTTTGCGTCTATATTTGCAATTAATGTTTTTATTAGGTATACATCATCTGATAATAATTTTGTTTTACTTTCATTATTTTTAAAATTCGAATGAAACAATAATATATCTTTTGTAATATTTTCATTGGAATTTTGAATTTTTAATACATCATCTGTCAATAATTTTGTTTTACTTTCAATATTGTTAAATCTCGATTGAAGCAATAAAATGTCTTTTGTAATAGTATCATTGGAATTTTGAAGCTGAATGAGTTGTTTGTTTCGTTTGCTCTCTATCGAAGCGCCGAATATGTTCATGGTTCAATACCACTTCAATAAACTGATAAAATTTAATTTTCATCACTTTTTATATCATTCACAGATATCCAAGAGTTGTGAGAAGTGTCATAACCCAACCATTTCACCAATACTTTAGAGTTTTTTCTTTTAATAATTCTCTCTATGAGAAAATCGTCTGGATATTTAGTCAGTTGTATTTCATGCTCATAAAAACAACCTTTTATAGGCGCACCAGTGTAATCTTCTAACATATAAGTCACCGGCAAGGTGTTGTTTACTTTTGCAATAGTGAATATTTCACTCGACCAATTAGCTATATAACCTTTAATAAACAAAGTTTTATAAATAGATATACGCACTTTTTGACCTATTCTGAATTTAGCTTTAGATTTTAAAACTTTTCTATGATTAAATTTCACCGATAACGGATTCTTATCAGCTTGTATTGGTGTCATTCCAATCGTACGATGTTTACTGTTATTATATTTTTCCATCAACAAGTCTAATATATTAATCCATTTTCGAGAACCTCTAGCGGTGAATTCACGATACATGATTGTTTTTAATGTTCTATTAAAACGTTCTATAATGGATGCTTTAATTGTACTATAGGTTGAGTAATGGTTGATTTTATATTTTTTTACAAGCTCGTTAAAATGTGAATTAAAAAATTCTTTTCCTCCGTCAGTGTGCAAAAGCCGTGGTTTACGTATTTTAAATATTTTAGCTATAGCTTCGGCAACGGTTTTTCCAGATTTATTTTTTATTGGGACTGCCAAGCATATTTAGTAAAACAATCGATCACGCAAAGTATATACTTATAATCCTTATTCAATTTTGCGATAGGAATAACTTCTATTAAATCAGCTTCCCAAAGATCGTTTTTACCGTTAACGTTGACTCTTCTTCTAGGGAATTTTTTTTCTAGCCGGTTTGTGTAATTCAAACGCTATATCAAATGTAGACATATTTAGGCAATCGTTTAATATATCCGGATTCTAATAGTTCTTCAAAAATTGATATTATTTCATTGTCTAAACCAGAGTTACCAGCGTTTTTTGAAGACAGGGGTAGCTTCAACCTTGACACTAGTTCGTTTGGCTCATCCCAAAAAATATACGTTTCTTTATAGTTTTGTAAAAGTGTTTTAGAAAGCTCACCTCCAGAAGTAAACAATTTACCTACTATATCGGTATATTTTTTACCACCTTTTTTTATATGATTTTTATCAGCTTTCAAGTGAGATGATGTTGTTATAAGAATTAGTTTGTAAATTTCCAAGTCCTCATTTTTGTAATCTACCGGATGTTTGTTAAATATAAGTCGAATTAAACCACGTGTAAGTGGATAAGGATTGTTATATTATAAAGAGCGATCCATTTTGCCAATCAAAAATTACATCTCTTGATTTTCCATATGATATTATTTCTCCTCTGTCTCCCAGTATTGGACCATACAATTTATCTAATTGCTCCGAGTTAATCCATTGTTTTTTATTCTCACCTATGTATCGATTTAGTTTTATTAAGAAATCATCCTCTTGCTTTACAGAGGATGTGTTGTTGTTGTCGAATTCATCGACCTCATTAACAACATTTTCTTGTTTAATTATTTCATTTTTTTCATTATTTTCTCTAATATAATTATCTTTTTCGTTAAGACTCGCTATACGTTCTAGAGGGGATATAATTGGCTTTAATGTGTCTGCATTAAAAAATTCATTATTTAATCGTCCTTGTTTTAAATCGTTAAATTTACGTTTAATGTTCTCTTTTGCTTGTATTAAGTTGGTTAGCAACAATTTCTCGTTTTGCATAATTGCCGACTACTCGACTACACAAATTTTCGTCTTATATAGTAACAAAGCAATGGAACCCAAAACGGTAACGTCCATCGTCTCTACGATCATCTTTACTAATAACCACAAATCCAAATTTTTCACGGTTCCAACCGGTCATGCAAAACGTTTTAAAATCTTTAAAACTCATATCTTCAGAGCAATGGTCTTGAAATACATGTTTAAGATTAAGTTCATCTTGTTTAAATAATAATATATAATTGCTATTATCCCTTAAAAGGTGCTTTGGTATTCTAGAATAGGATTGTGCAAGGTAAAAACAATCTATGTTGTTGTGTCTACCGCGTGAATAATACGATTCGATAACATTCTGATTTTCACATATCACGTCATCGAAAATAAAAATTGAGTTGCCAAGTGCTTTTTCAGGGGATATAACAGTATCGTTTTCGTGATACGTAAAAAGTTTTATACCGTTTATCCCGCCTAGAATATTCTTTAATGTTATATACTTTGGTTGTTGTAATGTTTTACTGTAAATATAAACGTTTTCGAATCTCACACCGTTAATATCTGTTAACAGAGCAAAGATAACGTTAGTTTTACCACAGCCCGAAGGACCTACAATTAAACCTCTTATAGTATTAGGAAATAAAGATCCATGTCGTTTAAACTTTTGTTCATCTGGTGTATCAACTTTCTGAACTACAAGCTTGTTTTTATGCTCGAAAAAACGCATTCTATTAATTTACATATAAATGTTGATGTGTGATAAATAAATATCACACACGATGAAACCTACTCGAATGTTGAGGAACAATAAAGGTGGTGGGTTATTGAANTTGAGGAACAATAAAGGCGGTGGGTTATTGAACTACCTTATAAATAAAACTCCTGTGGAATTACATTTACCAGGCGACTATCAGTAATAATTTTAAAATATACACAAATTACTTAAATTAATTGATTAATTTTATAGATTTTGTGGGCCAGGAACAAAGTTGAAAAAACGTTTGTTGCGTGGTGACGTAGGTATAAATAGCTTAGACAGAGCTTGTAAAACNATAAATTGCTTAGACAGAGCTTGTAAAACGCATGATATAGCTTATGACCAAAGTAACGAAAAATTAGATCGATGCACTGCTGACGCAATTCTAGAAAAGCAAGCTTGGGATATTTTTGTTTCAAAAGAGACAGGGTTAAAAGAAAAAGCAGCTGCACTGGCTGTCACTGCAGGTATGAAAGCGAAGCGTAAACTTGGTATGGGTTTGAATAATTTAAAAAATAAAACGTTGAAAAATGATAAAAAAATTTTACGGCCTCTAAAAATAAATCAAATAAAAGTATAAAAAGGAAACGACAATCGTTGTCCAGAATCATTCCATCGCCTAAATACGGTGGTGTTTTACCTTTAATTACTTTGTTCTCTGCATTGAGCGCATTAGGTGGATTGGCCGGGGGTATTTCAAATATAATTAAGACAGCGCATGAATTAAAAAACAACAGCAAAAATTCGTCTTCGGGAAAAGGAATGCATTTGAAGCCTTATCATAAAGGAAAGGGAATGTTTTTAAAACCTTATAAAGGAGAGAGTATTCACAGTGTAAAAAAAAAAAACCTCTCAAAAAATAGAGTTACCTAAACAAGCAATGTATGATTATGAAATAATAAAATATGCAAAATTGTTGAAAATCCCTCAGTTCAGAGGCTGCTACTGTAGAGATAATTTACCAAAACGGTGTAAGCGGATAGAGTCTATGGTTATAATTTGGATAGCGTCAATAACTTTGGCACGCATTGGGTATGTTTTAGAAAAGTTAATAGAGACGTAAAATATTATGACAGTTTTGGAAACTTAAAACCCCTTACTGAAGTACAAAAATATCTAAGTGGATGTAATATAACATATAATTACAATAATTATCAGAAATACGATTCAACGAATTGTGGCCAACTCTGTTTGAGATTTCTATCAAACTTATCACCATGACATCGATTTCAGTGAATGGTAATTCATCAGAGTTGGAATGTGCCTTTTTTCCACCTCTGCAAACCGAAAAAAATACTAAAATAAGTCTTTTAAGTTTACAAACAAACAATACAATTCCTAATATAACTGAAAATAGAAATAAGATAAGTGTTGCTAAAGAAGATGGTAGTATTTATGAAATTATTATTACAACGGGATCATATGAGTTGTTGGATTTAGAAACTTTTTTAATGGATTTTATGTCAAAACTTAATATAGTATTCCAACTTAAAACCAATCAAATAACATTAAAATGTGAAATGTTATGTAATAGGGACATTGACTTTTCTATACCCGGTAGTATTGCCACACTATTGGGATTCGAAAAAAAAATTTATCCAGCTAACGTTAAACACATATCAGAAAATCCAGTTAATATAATGAATGTAAATTGTATAAAAGTTCATTGTAATTTAGTATCTGATTCATTTGATAACGGTGCGCCAAGTCATGTTATACACGAATTTTTCATGAACGTTCCAGTAGGATTTCACGTATCCGAAGTTATATTATCAAACCCAGATTATTATCCTCTTAACACGACATCTATAAGCCAAGTGCAAGTATAATTGAAAGATCAAAACGGAAATTTAATCGACTTAAGAGGTGAACCATTATCGGTACGTTTACATATGAAACGTGAGAGTTGATGGGTCTCAAATTTAAAAATTTTAAACAAACAGTTAGTATTGGTAACNGAAATTGTAAACAAACAGTTAGTAGTGGTAACGTAAAAACGTATAGTAATAATAAAAATAGTTTATTAAATAGAAATCTTCGTAATTTTTATAAATTAAAAAATACTCGGTGTATTCAAAATAACCATTCTCCGGGAAAGTGTTCAGAAAATAATAAAAGAATAAAGTTAACCAAAAACAATTTGTCATTTCTGAAATCATTAGGTGTATTATAAAAAAAAAAAATGGATAGTTCTTATTTGAATGTATTGGAAAAATATACAGACGAATCGCCTATAGAGGATTTACATTATCGTTCCTATTTACCATTTTCAACTACAGCGCTCTCAAACGGTGATCAAATACGAATAGCCGTACAAAATACCGATGCATACACTCTGTTTCGTGAAAGTTTTATATACATTGAAGGTGAAGTAAAAGTAAAATCAGGGACTGTAGGTAAAATAGCTATTGCAAACAATGGATTAGNAGGTCAAATAGCTATTGCAAACAATGGATTAGCTTTCTTATTTGATACAATATCTTATGAAATAAACGGAGTAGAAGTTCAAAAAGTANTAAACTGTTAAAAATTGTTGAAAACTTTAAAGATATTTATTGCGCGTTTAGAAATTGGGACTTGTCTGTTTATCCAGAGTTGCCCAATACAGAGAGAACAAGTCGGATGGTTAAATCAACCTCTAACATAGATAGACCCCGTTATATAATAATAGCTTTTCACACGGCTGAAACTAGTGAATCAGGAGATCGTACACAAAAATTTGACTCATGCTCTCTAGTAAATCTAAAGGTGCATTTAAATTCATTCGAGTATCCCTATGAAAACTTTAATGAAAATTTCGATAAAAAATTAATAACTTTGTTCTATCAAAACTATATAAATTTTCAACAAANAAATTAGTAGTGGTATTACATGGTCCAATGACGAGGCAAAAGAACTTTTAAAATCTAGTGTTACTTTAACGAAAGTTGTATAGAAATTACCAGTTGTGCGAGTTAATGACCGCGAAAAATTAGAACTGTTAAAAATTGTTGAAAACTTTAAAGATATTTATTGCGCGTTTAGAAATTGGGACTTGTCTGTTTATCCAGAGTTGCCCAATACAGAGAGAACAAGTTGGATGGTTAAATCAACCTCTAACATAGATAGACCCCGTTATATAATAATAGCTTTTCACACGGCTGAAACTAGTGAATCAGGAGATCGTACACAAAAATTTGACTCATGCTCTCTAGTAAATCTAAAGGTGCATTTAAATTCATTCGAGTATCCCTATGAAAACTTTAATGAAAATTTCGATAAAAAATTAATAACTTTGTTCTATCAAAACTATATAAATTTTCAACAAAATTATTATGAGAGAAAAAAATCTAAACCGTTATTCAATAAAGAAGAATTTTTAAAATATGGTCCTCTTTTTTGCATTGATTGTACACGCCAAAAAGACGATTTGAAAACCTCAACCATAGACTTGAGAATCGATTTTGAATCATCTGAAAAATTTCCACCGTCCACTACTGCATACTGTTTGATAATTCACGATCGTATATTACAATACAATCCATTTAGTGGAGACGTTCGAAGATCATAAATACTTTTTCTCTACAAATTCATTAAATATTGTTATCTTTTTTTTTTTTAATTATGTAGTCTATAATAATTTAAGGAAATTATTTTAAATTAATGTAACAATATTTATTTTATTATAAACGACTAGAACAGCCGGGAAAATATATTGTATTTTTTTTTTTTCTATAAATACAAAAAATAATTATGAAATAATAACATATATGTATACATATTAACTAAAATAAATTACAGTTTATTTGTTTAGTAAAATAATTGTTTTTTTACACACAGATAAATATATTATATTGATCTATAAAAGTAACAATTTAATTAAATATATATAAAATCACAATTTAAATTAATTTATTATATTAAACAAAAAAAAAAAATTTTGTTCATTCATTGTTCACTTTTTTTTCAAAGAATAATGTCCCCAAGCTTTTGTATATACATTCGGATATTTTTCATCACCACCGACTAGTGCACATTTGTCATATTTACTAGTCAGAGCAACTTTTTCCATTTCTATCGTTTGTAGAATATGATTTTTCGATCTAATGGTTGACATTTTACGATTAATTGATAATTGCTCCTTCAAACACTTTAAATAGTATTTTATTTCAATTGTACGCGCAACGACACCCATTGACACTCCCTTCAGTCTTTTCACCTCGCATATCTTTTTTTCATTACCATCAGATTTTATAGTGTACGCATACACCGATTAAATTAAATAGTAAACTATAAAAACATTTTACCACGACAAAAATAAATAAAATAGTGTAAAATTATTATTCCACTTTAAATTTAGATATATTTAATTGAATATCCACTTATGAGATACATTCTGATATAGACAAGATATCCTTCAAAAGTTTAAACGTTGATGACATAATAATTAATAGCACCCTACACAGCCACCGGTTCATACACGTGCGATCTGTACCATCCTATATACACGTGTATACAAACGACCTAGCACAACAAATCAATGACCGCGGCACCTTTGTGTGCCAGTTCCCGCTTTCTATATACTACTAATATACCCTCAATGCGTACTGTAAGCGTGTTGAATTCTTCAACCGTAAGAATTTGCATACCAATTACTCGTTTGAGATGGAATTTAATGCTTTTAATAGCAACTTCCCATAAACCTCCCATGTGAGGTGCAGCAGGTGCATTAAAGTGCCAATTGCACGGAACACGTTCTGTTAATTGTTGTCGTACTGCAGTATCATCAAATAATGATTTCATTTGACGGGCTGCCCCTGTATAATTTGTACCACAGTCCGAGTAAAAGTCATTCATTAGACCGCGTCGCGCAACGAACCGGTCCAATGCTGCTAAAAACGCTTCGGAAGATAAGTATGACACTATTTCAATATGTATGGCTTTTACTGCCATACAAACAAATAAAGCTATGTACACCTTTGTTGTGCGAGCATTTCTTCGCCTACACTCTTTTACCATATATGGTCCACCATAATCCATACCAACCTGCATAAAAACACGCTGAAATTGTACGCGTGGCGTGGGCAACTCACCCATATACGGTTTAGGATGGCTAGATTTATACCGAGTACAAGTTATGCATTTAAATATGCACTGACGTATTGCATTACGTGCGGAAAGGATCCAAAATCGCTGTCTTAATGCAGAAACAATAAATTTTGGACCAGCGTGTAAAAAGGCAGAATGGTAATAATTAATTATTAAGGTGGTTAAATGTGACGATTTTGGTAATAGCAATGGATGTTTAGCGTTCATAGGTAGCGAAGAGTACCTTAGTCGTCCATTAACGCGTATTAATTCATCTGCGTCTAAAAACGGAGCGACTTGAGCTATGGAGGGCGGTTTGATTATTACATCTGGTTTTGACAATAATTTTAACAAACCGGAGAAATAGGTTTTTTGCGTTAGGCGAACAGCAACATGAATCGCACGAGTTTGCTCAATCAACGTAATTGGGCCCATATTACATTTTCGTTTAAGTATAACTACATTAACAAAACGAAGACTATATGAAATTGAACGCTGTAGTTTTGGTAATGATGAGAAGCGCAATAATAAATAATCGTCAGACAGTGTGCCGCGAACAATAAGTGAAACGGATTTTACAGGTTTTACGTCAAGCAAATTGGCAATGCTCAAAGGCGTAAATTTCGAGTGCGGCCATTCACCTTCAGGTAATGTAAAAATGATGGACCGTTCCAATGAATATTACACTGTATCATTGCATTTGGCAGTAGGCCGCGAGACGAAGGATCAGCTGGATTCTCGTCTGTACAAATATGTGACCAGCTGCAATTCGGTATTAATTGATGAATTTTTGCTAATCTATTAGTCACAAATATTTTAAAGTATTTTTGATCAGTGGTGATCCATGATAAAACTATCGATGAGTCCATCCATGCCCGAATCTGTGATATGGTAACGCTTGGTGATAAAATGGACTAACTCTAGCTAACAGTTGAGCCAGTAAAAGTGCGGCACACAATTCGAGTCTCGGTATTGTTAATGACACGTCTTGTTTACTAGATTTCAATGGCGCAACTTTGGTTTTACACGTAATAAAATAATTGCTTATTTGTCCCGAAGGATAGGTGACGCGTAAATAAACCGTAGCCGCATAACCAAACTGTGAAGCATCACAAAAACCTACCAGCTGTATATCATTACAATTAATAATGTCGATTTAACGAAATATTACAAAGTGACGGCAATTCAGTAGCGAATTGTTCCCACTGAGTACGTAAGTGAGGAGACAATGACGTATCCCAATCAAATTGGTCTTGCCATAAGACCTGAATAAAACCTTTAGCCCATAAAATAGTGGGACCCAAAGCGCCGATAGGATCAAACAATTTGGCTATAGTAGACAAAACGCCGCGTTTTGTTAATGGCGTTTCTTTAATATTTGTATGGTAGCCAAATGTGTCACTTTGGGTGTTCCAGTGTAAACCTAGAACTTTGACAGTTGACTCATCTTTCGGGTCAAATGATGGACGCTGAGCACGGTCATCAGGTGGTACACGATTTATTAGCTTCTCACTATTACTACACCACTTTTTTAGCGTACAACCTGCGGTAGATAAAAGTCTAATGATGTGGTCTTGAGCAACAAGTAACTCCTCTTCAGTGTCTCTACCAATAATAATGTCATCCACGCATGTATTATGGATCAAAGAACCTTTTGCAACGGGAAACTTATGTCCTTCGCGCATGTCTAACTCGTGTAGACAACGTATCGACAAATATGGAGATGAAGTGAGCCCGTATGTAATGGTAAGCAACTCAAATTCTTGGACTTCGTAATCGGGAAATTGTCGCCATAAGATATGTTGGTATACGCAGTCCTCTTCACGTATTTGAATTTGACGGAACATTTTAACTAGATCAGCGGTAAACATAAATTTACGTGTACGGCACATTAGTAACAAATTACTTATATCAGTCTGCAGTTTTGGACCAACACATAACACGTCATTTAATGACAAACCAGATGACAATGGCGCACTACCATCAAAGACCACACGGATTTTGGATAAATCTCCGTCTTGTTTTATCACTGCGTGATGTGGGATAAAATATTTGCCAGGTCGCGTAGCGAGTTTCATGTGACCGAGCGACAAATATTCATTCATAAATTTGCGGTACGCATCGTATAAATCTGCATTTTTAGAAAGACGTTGTTCGAGATTATATAATCTTTTGAGAGCTAAATTACGAGATTCGCCGAGCCCGTGGTTGAGCGTAGGTGCGTTCATGTCAGCGGTATTTTTATTACACCCCACAGAAATCTCGTCTTTGAACGGTAGCGCCACACAAAAGCGATCCGATACATCACGTGTGGTAGTATGTGTAAACCAGTGATTACAGAGTTCATCTTCTGTTGTAGGAATTAGCGGGACAGACGGTTCTTCTATTGTCCAGAATTGACGCAACAAACTATCAACAGATGGGCTAAGAGTCACGGCAAGTGACGTCAATGGCTGAGCGAGACTGTAGCTACTAATATCCATCCTAGGTAGGTGTCAAGTGCGGAGGGTAGACTTTTCATATGTATGGTCTCCGCCTTTGAACGTACAGTATGTGGAAAGACATCTCCGCCCAACAACATATCAATATTACCGGGTGTGTCGAAGTAGGGATCGGCGAACAAAAAGTCGTGATATTGCTCACGTACTTCTGGTGGTAAACGCGTGGTCGGCATGAGATGTGTTATGTTTGATAAAACTATCAAGTAATTACAAGTAAAGACTGGTTCTAATGCATAGTGTGGTATAAATGTGCATTTAGAAATGCCTTTTATTTGGTTTACACGGTTTTGCGCCAAGCCGACTATCTCGGAGAGACATTTACGACGCGGTAAGCCAAGACATAATAAACAATCTGACGTAATCGCTGATATTTGGGACCCATTGTCCATTAACACACGCACACGCTGTTAAGAGCCGGTGTTATCGCGAACTCTTACGACATCAGTACCCAATACTACAGTACTTTGTGCATATGAAGTACCTGAAAATTTCGGCGGCGTATCACCTATTTGATCAGCAGTTGACGAAGTAGATGGCGCAGGTTGATCCATGTGCAAAATAGTGTGGTGATTTTTCTCGCATTTCTTACACACCGAGTTTAAAGCGCATGACGATGCAACACGGTTTAAGACAAGAAAAACATAATTTGTGCGTAGAAACATGATCACGCCTTTTCTGAACAGAAATTTTTTGAAAGGTATAGCACCGATAAAGGGGGTGTGCACCCTTTTGACAATAAGAACACTGAATTTTATTTTGAACAGTAGGCTCTAGATTATTAGACGCGACGGTGGTTAATGAATGTTTCAGTAACTGCGAATTTTTCTGTAGATTAGAACCTTTAAGATTTTCCAAAATTTTACAACCTTGCTGAACAAACTTCAGCAAGTCATTCATAGAAGGAATAATCGATTGCATTATACTGTTTTCGGATAAGTGTCTTGTTGTGTTATCCAGTACACGAGAAGCAATATAGAAAAGCAAAAAACCAGACAGGTCATCTACGCTTAAAATTTTGATTGCCTCGATATTTTCTTTGAAGACATTTAAAAAAAGTTGCAAAGATAAAAGTGATTCACTATTTATAGGTCGAAATGCAAAGATTTTGTCCAAATGTGCTGTTGCTAACACTCTTTTGTTTTCATACCTATCGGTAAGTGCGCTCCACGCTATATCATAATTGGCTTCCGTAATTGGTATAAATTTTATGACAGCGAGCGCGGAACCGGACAAACACGAAAGAAGGAAATGGAATCGCCTAATTTTATTAGAATCGACATTTACAATAGATTCAAATGTATCACGGAAAGTAGTCCAGTCTGTGATACTACCATCAAATTTTAAATTCTTTTTTTAAAGATTGAGTTCTAATAAACGCGTTTACAATAGCCTGTTGATGTTCGCGAAACTGTTTTTCGAGAACACTTAATTGACAATCGCGTAATTCAAACTGTTCTTTAAGGCTAATGTCAGACTTAAACTTAATAACGAATTTATAAATTTTAGTAATCGATTTAAGAGAACTATCCCGTAAAGTACATGCTCCAATGAGAGTTTTTTCTTCCAGATTTACTTTAAAATGCCTCGGGGCCATTATTAAGACAAATAAATATCCACGCTCGAAGGACCAATGTATGACTGCAGCGCATTTTATCAATGTATACCATTTCACAAATATCTCAGGTGTACATTGGTCTGGACCCGAACGATTCATTGGCCAAAAGTCAAGTTTGTAAAAAATCGTTATAAACTTATTATATAATTAATTACTGTATTAAAAGAATTATTTTCTTCTTCTAAGTATAAAAAAAAATTGATTTGTCATGTTGTTGTAACTATCCCTTCAAATACGATTTATTATAATCCTGCAGTCCTTTTTTTTCTTTTGCCCAATTTAGAATTTTTTTATACAAGAGCTATGAAACACCAGTTCATAAATTATTCTAAATACTTGAGTCTATTACAAAATTTGCGTAATACATGATTTCATGTAGAATTTGTGTAATGACATAGAAAATCATGAACTAAAAAAATTTCACAAAATTATACTTCAACAACCCTCCATGAAAAAATTACAAGTTCCAGTAAAACAAAACTTGTTTCTACATGAAATAGGATAAATTGTAAATTAAAAAAAATCACTAATAGCTGCCCGAGTTAAAATAAATCAGATCTCAATACATTTGGAGGTCAAAAATATATAATTAAAAATGAAAAAGAATTTAAAAAGTTGAAATTTTTTTATCAAGCTATTATAAGACTGTATAATTATATGGATAATAAATAAATACATTTTCTGTAAATCATTAATAACACATGCATTTTCATATACAAAATCCATATAAAAGTCGCACAGTTGCCAAACGTATGCCAAAAATATATCTTTATTAACTTTGATTTTTCTTGACAAATTAGCTTACAATTAGTTAGGAAATAGCAAAAGACAAATAAAATTCATTTGGATATGCATCCTTCTGTAACTGGACGAATCGAAATACATTTATTTTGTATTTATCTTCGATGGGAAGCTGAGAAGGTATTAATTTTACTATGATGTGTTTTTTTTGTGTCTCTTACCACTTTTTCTCAGCTCTCATCGAACCGATTTCTTTCAACGGTACGTCAAAAGATCACAAATCGTATCTAGTCGAAGAAATTAACCTCAAAAATTGAAAAAATTTCCCTCGTTCCCCGTAAATGGAGGAAATCTCCAAAAAAATTACAAATTTAAAAATCGCTAATTTTTTAAATATTTTTTACTTAAAACTGCCATAACTTTTTCAAAAATGAACAAATTAATATAATTTTTTTTATAGGTGCGTAATGTCTTTACATATCATTTGGTATTTTTTTTTATAAATTTAACCCTTTACCAGCCCACAGGGGGGGATTCAAAATGACTACTTTTTCAACTTAACTTTTGAAAGTGTTCCGGAAAGTCTGACACTTTTATATATACCTTAAATTAAAGATAATTCGGACTTTAATTTGTCTTCATGGTGAAAATGACTACCAAATGCTATTATTGTGTGAAAATTCTCGATTTTATTTTTTACATTTTTAACTTTATAATGCTATAACTTATTGAAAAGTGTATGAATCAACACAATGTTTTTATGAGAAATAATGTTTCTTAATAATCCCTTTTTCATTCGATATACTTTATCTTAATCAATATATTAATAAGGAACTAGCAGAACATGTAGCTTTTGAAATAATCCACCAATTTTTTAAAATTAAACACTATTCTAAAGATTTGCATCGAAGCGTTTTTTATGATAGTGATTTTAATCACTGTCAGATATCATTATACTTGATCCAACTATGCCAAGTCTGTATTGGGTTTTTTTTTTTAACAATTAAGTATATATTCATGTATAATTTTTACACTATACTTAAACAATGTAAAAAAATTCATTGTTTTCATACATTTTATACAAACCGCTCCCAACAATTATTGTTAAAAGGTCATCTTTCCTCTCAAATTTATATTACATCGGTGTACCCCAAGGTGGACACTTGGTTATTTTTAATATATTTATTTGATAAAGACATCTGTTTTAAATTTTGTAAATATCAACTTTTTGCCGATGATCTCATACTTTATTATACTATAACTCGTGTAGAAGATTGCCATCTATTACAAGAAGATTTAAATAGATTCTTCAATTGGGTGTACAAAAAACTGTCTAAACCTAAATGTAAAGAAATGCTCTAAAGTGTCATTCCATAGAAATAAATCTAAAATTGCATTTAATTACGTTATTGATAACATTACTCTGCCTGAATATTATCATATTAAGGATCTAGGCGTCATGTTTCAAACAAACCTCCAATTTTCTACCCATACTGACCAGATCAATCTTAATGCTATTAAAAATCTTGCATTTTTAGTAGGTGCACTAAATCATTTGATGATATAAACTGTTCTTTTTTGTGCCTTAAAACGTTCTATTTTGGAATATGGATCCATTATATGGAATCCTACATACACCTCACCTTATACAAAAGCTTGAAAAGTGCAAAGAAAATTTATTCGTTTTATAGGTTTTAAACGAAGATCAACAAATAATAATGTTGATAATTCGATACAGAGTCTACAATTTAACCTAAAGCTTGACCTAATGTTTACTCGTCGCAATATGTCAGACTTATCCATCTTATTTAAACTAATTAATAGTATCATTTCCTACCCTCCTTTTCTGAATCGTATATCATTACATGTACCGAAATACAATACACGTTCATGTCCTACATTTCATCTTTAATCACACTGCACAAACAATGGTAAAAATAATCCACTTAATAGAATCTTAACATTAGATAATACATCAAACTTTGTTTTGTTTTTTAAGAATCTATTTAATCTAAAACATCATTATCTAAATCATTAATTTTCTTGATTAATTATAATTATACTTATTTATTTTTGGATTTTTATTTTAAATACCCGACCTATACCTTTATGTTTATACCTCAATTTTATTGTGTATTATGTTTCTATGTAAATTGTGTTATTAGCCTGTACTTGGGCCTAATAGGCGTTTATTCAAATAAATATATTAGGCAGGTAAAATATGAATAAAATTATTATTATCAAATCTTAATACTATTTACTTTAACTATAATGCAATTAGACAACTTAATAAATAATAAAATCATTTAAAAAGTCAATTAATTAGGACACTCATTTGCCATAGCATACATGATTATATCAATACAATTACTTTGACTAGCTACATAAATGGTATTTCTACTCCACGGGCATCTATTTTCATGTGCGTATTTTATACAACTAAATTGATCATTTGCAGCAGCAAGTCTTGTAGTACTTTCGTCCCACTGACATCCATTTTCATGGGCATATTTTAGGCAGTCTATATGACCGTTTGCAGCAGCTGCACTCGTTGTCCCTACATCCCACCGACATCCATTTTCATAAGCAAATATCAAACAGTCAATACAACCACTTGCAGCAGCCTCCCTTGTTGTGCCTTCATCCCATTCACAACCATTTTCATGAGCATATTTCAAACAGTTTAAATGTCCATTTGCAGCAGCCCCTCTCGTAATACCTCTTAACCAATCATATCCTTGTTCATAAGCATATTTTAAGCAATTTAAATTGCCAAAAACAGCAGCTGTAACTATTGTCTCTACATCCCAATTACATCCTTTATCATGAGCATATTTTAAACAATCAAAACAACCATATGCTGCAGCAGCTCTAGTTGTTCCAACATCCCAATAACATCCATTCTTGTGAGCATATATTAAACAATCAAAATTACCACTTAAAGCTGCCACTTTAGTTATGCCCTCATACCATTTACATCCATTTTCATGAGCATATTTTAGGCATTCTAAATGTCCATTTTCAGCAGCAACTTTTATTATTGTTTCGTTCCACGGACATCCGTTTTCATAGGCATATTTTAAGCATTCTATATTTCCACATTCAGCAGCAGCGTTTGTTATTGTTTCGTTCCATGGACATTTATTTTCATGAGCATATTTTAAGCAGTCTAAAAAGCCTTCGGCTGCAGCAGATCCAGTAGTATCTTCATCCCAATTACATCCATTTTCATGAGCATATATTAAACATTCTAAATTGTCGGCACCTGCAGCTAATTGTGTAGTATCATCATCCCATTCACATCCATTTTCATGAGCATATATTAAGCAATCTAAATTACCATAAATAGCAGCTGTTCCTATTGTACCTACACCCCAATGGCATCTATTTTCATTAGCATACTTTAAACAATCTAAACAGCCACTTTCCGCAGCATTTTGAGTTGTGTCATCATCCCATTGGCATCCATTCATGTGGGCATATATTAAACAATCTAAATGACCATTAAGAGCAGCACTACTAATTGTACCTTCTGACCATGCAATACCATTTTCATGGGCGTATTTTAGAATTTCTAAATCACCATTAAGAGCAGCTAGTTCCGTTATTTCTTCATCCAATTCGCATCTATTATCAAATGCATATTTTAAGCATTCTAAATTTCCATTTGCAGCAGCAGCTTTTGTTGTTTTATGATCCCATTTACACTCCTTTACATGAACATATTTTAATATTTCTAAATTTCCACATTTTGCCGCTGCTTCTGCTGTGCTTTCATCCCATGGACATCCATTATCATGAGCATATTTTAGGCATTCTAAATGTCCATTTGCAGCAGCAGCTTCTGTTGTGCGTTCATCCCATGGACATTTATTTTTATGTGCGTATTTTAAAATTTCTAAATTACCACTCATGGCAGCACCAGTAGTTGTGCCCACATCCCAATTACATCTATTTTCATGAGCATATTTTAAGCATTCTAAACATCCACTTTCTGCAGAAGCTCTAGTTGTATATTCATTCCATTTACATCCATTTTCATGAGCATATTTTAGGCATTCTAAATGTCCATTTGCAGCAGCAGCTTCTGTTGTGCTTTCATCCCATGGACATCCATTTTTATGTGCGTATTTTAAAATTTCTAATTTACCACTCATGGCAGCACCAGAAGTTGTGCCCACATCCCATTTACATCCATTTATGTGAGCATACACTAAACATTCCAAACTACCACTTTTTGCAGCTTCTCTAGTTGTTTCTTCATTCCACCCAGATCCATTTTCATGAGCGTATTTTAAGCATTCTAAATGCCCATATGCAGCAGCAGCTCTTGTTGTTTTTTTATCCCAAATACATCCATTTTTATGAACATATTTTAAGTTTTCTAAATTACCATATTTTGCAGCTGCTTCTACTGTGCTTTCATTCCATGGACATCCATTTTCATGTGCATATTTTAAACATTCAAAAAATCCGTTTGCAGCAGCATCTCTTGTTGTTTTATAATTCCATCTACATTTATTTATATGAGCATATTTTAAACATTCTAAATGCCCATTTGCAGCAGCAGCTCTTGTTGTTTTTTTATCCCATCTACAGCCATTTTCATGAGCGTATTTTAAGCATTCTAAATGCCCATATGCAGCAGCAGCTCTTGTTGTTTTTTTATCCCAAATACATCCATTTTTATGAACATATTTTAAGTTTTCTAAATTACCATATTTTGCAGCTGCTTCTACTGTGCTTTCATTCCATGGACATCCATTTTCATGTGCATATTTTAAACAATTGAAATGTCCATTTGCAGCAGCTTCAGCAGTTGTATATTTGTCCCATTCACATCCTCTTTCGTGGGCTAGTTTTAATGTTTCTATGTCACCACTTGCAGCAGCTTTTTTGGTCGTACCTTTTTCAAATTGGCATATTTTTGTGTATTCTGAATATTTATTTTCAATCCCTACATGATCAAAAGAATTAATTAATATTTTCCGAATAGAATTTTTTATTTAGCTTTGTAATATGTAAAAAGAGTGACAGTTTAATTATAATTATAATTTTCCAAATACTTTAAAATTGACACTTCAATCATGATAAGTATTATTGTTAGATATTTGTGTTATGGCTCCTTTTCAATTAATTATACATTTTATTTATAATTATTTTATTATTATAAGAAAAAAACAAGTTGGCTATATTTTAGAAAATATGTTAAAACTGTGCATTGTTATAATTAAAAATCCAACAATTACTATCGATGGGATATTATTTTAGGTGTGTGACTTATATCGATAGAATTATTTATTATTTAAATATATGGTTTAATAAATTTAATAAAATATTTTTTTTCATTTTTCAATTTAATTGCGCTAAAATTCTCAAAAAACTTTTAAAATACCAAAAAATTGTATTTAATTGAACTTAAAGTAAAAAAAAATCAATGTTTTCTTAATCAAAATAAAAAATTTATACAATAATACATTAGAACATTGTGATGTGTGGATTTTTAAGAAAATACTACTTGAAACATTTCTAGCTTCGAAGACAAGCTGAGAAGGTATTAACGATGCATCAATATATCACGAATTGTATTATAATTATATAATAGAACAAGGAAAAAAATGCTTTTCTGGAAAAATTACTTAGCGTGCTCGGATTTTTTAATTTTTTTTTTTTCTTCGAAAGTACTCGGTCACAAGACTCCAAGAAAAATATTGGCGAAGGTTGGAAAATTTCGTTTTCGAGAAAAATGCTCGCTGACGTCAGCGTTTTATGACTTAAGGTTTGAAATTTTCATCGGACCCGCCCAATGACATTCCTAAGATATGATAGAAATATCAATTCAATCCGTTCATTTTTCATCGTTTTACGAGCTTTTTATTTTTTTAAGTCCACGCGCATGGTTTTAATATGCGCATTGACTCATATCTGCTCATACGTTTATTCTGAACCTTAATTATATAATGTAATATGTATTTTTATTAGGACACTATTTTGCATTTGCACATATTGCACTATATTTTATATATATATTTTATGGAGGAATATTATATGTTATACATAAATTTCAAGACGGTTATAATTATATAAGTTTGTACTTTCATTATCAGAACAGTACATTATTAATAATCTTTTTATTCTCATATATGATGTATGACATCATGTACTGGATTTATCTCTGACTAATATGCTGTCCAACGTTAAATCGCAGTTACCAACTTTTTTTATTAAAATTAAATATTTTACATAGTCACATGTATAATAACCTGCTGAATTATTTTGTAATTATTCTATAATATAAGCACAATTATTATAAATAGAATATTAGTAATTTTTGTGTATACCAGGGATGTATTTAAGGGAGATATGGGCCCCCCTTGAACCAGCGCTATCAATATTTCTTTAGGCAACTTCTAATAAATAAGGACCTAATGTCCTTTTTTTTCATCATTACTTTGATTTTTAGCAAAAAAAATTCTATAACATGTTTAACAAAGTAAAAAATATTAAATACCATTCTAAAATAATTTTTGAATAGGCCTAAAGGGAATACTTCATTGACAAACGTCAGCCATATATCCAATACATTTTACTATATTCTCTTTTTGAATTTTCCTGATTTTAATAATAACATTTTTAATATATTTTTTTTACAGTGATTCTGATGTAATATTTTTTCTGCAAAACACTTATCAAGCCGAGCGTAGCCGGGTACTCCTACCGGAATCAGTGGCCTACTTATGAAGATGGCCCAAAGAGGCTTACGCACAGAAAGTGAGGCGGAGCCCCAGCTAGACGGAGACTAGTCTAGTTTAAGACATAAACCTCAAAATTGAAATAATTTCTCTCCTTTCCCGCTATAATAGGATATCCCCCGACAAATTAAAATTTTTAAAATTGATAAATATAGAAAACTTTTAACATTTTTTTACTTAAAGCTGTGATAACATTTTAAAAAATGGAATTATTTTCCATATATATATATATATATATATATATATATATATAATTTTAAAATGTTTTAAATAAATAAACTAATTTAATTTTGTATTAAAAACATATATTAATTATATATAATAAACAGGAAACAATAATTAATATGTAATAGTAATGTGTTAGACATAAGGTAATAAAAAATGTGTCAGATATTATGGAAAAGCGGTAGAACATTAGGAGATATAGATCATTATTGACAAATATAAAAAGCCCAAAATAATGAGCATTCAGGCTCAGATGTTACTTATATGGTGGTCAGAATACTCTCATTCGGTCAGTCATTCTCAGACGCAGTCAGTTATTCTTAAAGTTTACCAGCACGTTCAATTGCATTCAGTCAAATTCACACTCTGTTTTTCCTATCGAAATACATACAAAAAGTGATCCATCGCGTCCACATTATAATTTTATAAGGAAAAAGTAATATCTATTTATTTTAGAGTATTTATTGAAAATATCATTGTAGGAAACTATTAATTTCACCAAAAATATATAAGGTTTAGAATTAAATGTTATGAGTACATAGATTAAGTAGGCACAAAGAAAAATCAAGTCATCATCAACAATCAAAAATATACCAAGTAAATTTAATAAATTACTAATGTTTGTACAGAGTTATGTATTTGATACGTGTCTATTTCAAGAGTTAAGTAGGAGGTTCATATAGCTTCCATACTACTCTGGGTAAATACACGAAGTGACTCAATACCATCTATAATTGATAACCGTCAAAACTCGTGGCATTATTGATATCAAAGAATTGACAATCAATTGCAATAAATTTTATATAAATAAAATAAAGATCACTCTATTTTATAATCATTATTTTTCCTTTCTTATTTTAACTTAACTTTCGAAAATGTTTCGTAAATACTGTAGCATAAATATATATTAAATAAAAATATAGTTAAAAAAAACTAAAAAACACGTTTTTAAAGCACATCGAACTAAATAGTTAAATATAATTCTTAAAATAAGCTTAAAACAATAATGAACGGAAAATACTAGTATTATTGTGATAAAAGCGTCGGGCGTTCAATATATGAAAAATATGGCACACGCTAATACTAAATACTAATTGTAATCATTTGACGTATCGTTGAAAAAAATAGGTGAAGTGAGAGTTGGCAAAATAAATCGTAGCCACAAAAAAACCACACAGTAAAATAATATTAACATGAATAAGAAATTTCTTCGCACGAGGGAAAACTATAGTGATAGGATCCTTGAAATTTATTGAAGTTATTGAATCTAAATGAGATAAAAATGAAATGAGTTGAAAAATTTATTCCAACTCAAAAAAAATGCAAAATATTAATTGCCTCAGGCAAATTCGAATCTCGTACCCTATGCGTGAAAGACACAGGTGTTACCGATTCGGCAACTGTTCATTGCTTTAATCGCTTGATAAAATTGGCAATTTAGCTAACTTAAATTTAAAAATTACTTTTTCGACTTTAAAATAGTAAAAAAATTTTAATAAATTTAATTTCTTATGAACTTTCTATGTCAATTAAATTATAAAATATTCATGAAAGTCAGTGTATTCCCCTAGTAAGATATTTTAAAATAATATATAAAACCTAGCACATGTAGGTCGCGGCACAGTTGGGACGTGGCATAGTCGGGTCCAGTATAGATTTAATGTGACAGTGTTTAAAATCACTATCATAAGAAACGCTTCGATGCAAATCTGTAGATAGTGTTTAATTCGAAGAAATTGGTGGATAATTACAAAGGCAACATCAACTTCTATTTCCTTAATTATATCTAGATTAGTAAATCTTTTAATTATATATTATATAATTTTTTAAATTAATTGTTTTCAAATTATTATTGATTTTGATTTTTAATATGTTAAAAGTAATCATTTTGAACCTCCTTTTTTTTGTCCATTAAAGTGAAAGTTTCAATAAAAAAAAATGAATTTATTACCATNATTAAATTGAAAGTTTTAATAAAAAGAATTAATTTATTAGCATAACTTTTAGCTCAACTTGCAAGTTTGAAATTGACATTATTAAATCGAAAAAAATGAAATTATTAAAATTAATATGCAGTCAGGAAATTTTATAATTATTATTTACAATAAATTTATCAGAAAAGTACGATTTTTTTTACATTTTTATCGTAATAGATCACTTAAATAAAAATCATAGTAATCATTTCTAATTAACTTTTGGTGTTAAAAATGATTCTACAATGGAAATATTCAGAACTTAATAAATTTTAATGATTTACTTTTAAATAAGATAAATATCAAATGATTTGAAAATTTTATTCTAATTAAAAAAAAATTCAAAATATTAATCCTCACAGACAAATTTGAACCTCGAACCCTAAGCGTGAAAGACACAAGTGTTACCGATTCGACAACTGTTCGTTGCTTTCGTCACTTAAAAAAATTGGTTATTTAAACTAACTCAAATTTAAAAATTACTTTTTCGACTTCAAAAAAATAAAAAAATTTTAATAAGTTTAATTTCTTATGTCTTATGAACATTATTCTATGTCAATTAAATTATAATATAATTTAATCGCATAGAAGATAGGTCGTCGAGACAATTTTTTTTTTTATTTTTATAGTCAATGACATAAGCTTTAATTTTATATATGTTGATAGGACGCAGTATTTCCGGAACATTTTCAAAAGTTAAGTTGAGAAAGTTCTATTTTTTATACAATGTTTCAAGTTTAGAACGCCCCTATATAATAGGAAATTGTCCAATTTTAATAAAAAGTATGTCAAATGAAAAATGTAGTTATAATGTATTTAGAAAAAAAAAATTTGTACTGATACTTACATTTTTCAAAAATTTAAAGCATTTTTAAGTTAAAAATTTAAAATCGAAAATTTTAACACAAAAATAGCGTTTTTTTAACTACGGCAGCCGTTTGCATGCAGAAGATAAAGTGTCACGACAAATTTTTTTTTTTTATTTTATAGTACATAAAATAAGCTTT